TCCAACAGGGTAGGAGCGCGACAACCGATTTGTCTCCAAACCAAATTTGAAAAGGGATTACGGAAAATCGTTCCACAATATACGTATGTTCCAGCAGTAAAAACAAGTTATATGTGTGAGAAATGTGTATTTGTAAGATTTTTGAATAATTAGTCCGATAGCTTAAACCTATTTTGGTATATTTTTTGCATATCGGTACACGTTTTGGTACAAGAAAATAATTAGTAACTGGCAACCGTGGTCACACTTTGCTTTCCATGTATTTATGTACATAACTACTCTCTTCGTTATGGCTATTCTTGTGTGTCAGAATATTACTGTCGAAGCAATACTTAGTAGTACGTACAAATGCACATACATACATACGTAGGCATAATTTTCTATTTCTGGAGCGATAATACTGTCTGATATCTCATCGCAACGTCAGAGATTAATGAATTTAAGTTGCGTGTTTACGTCTAGCATATCCAGCAGTGGCAAGCTAAAAACAAACAATTCATTCGGGTGTTGGTAGCGGGGAGTAACTAGCGTCCAGCTTGTACATATGTATTTTTTTGCGCTGGGAATGGGCGTAGAGAATGCGTGTCTGTACACTTAAGAATATAATTGAATTCGAGCAAGACAACCTGCTTCATGAAAAGACTGACTTTGATATGTGATTATATTTAGGTTAAATCGGCATCGATTGTTTATTTTTTTGTCTAATTTTGTATGAAAAATAAGAAAGTACTGTTATAATTTAGTTGTAATCAGAGACCATTAATCCACTCGTATCATATGTAGTTCAATAATAAAAGGTGATATACGTAGTGACAGTTCGTTCAACGATCGTAATCACCGCACCATGTTTTTGGGCTATGTTGCCGAGAGGTAGAGGGATTACTCCGTGGAGTAGTTTTTGCTACTCTAATGTAATGCAGAGCTGAAGTATATGGTCCTGCCCTAGGAAATTGCAATGTTAATTACGCCACATTTTTTTTTATACGCATTACGGTTAATTTGGGAGTACTCCTTGACCCGGCAGTCACTTTGCTCACACACATCCTCGTTCGCATTTTAGAGCTCGTGTTTGATCGGCACTGATGTACAGAATTTTGGCGTCGCCATGCGCTGTATTTTGCAACCAAATGGTCTAATGCTTGCACGTCTTTGTATTTTTTTGTAACAGTAGGGCTTTCGGGGTAGGGAACTGTGGTTACAACGAGCCTAGATTTCTCTCACGTTTTCTGCAGACGGCATAACACTCGATGGTAAGGCTTTACTTCGCACACCATCCTTTCATTAATGTTAGAACTAGTGTTGGGCAGTATCGATACCAAAAGTACTCTTAGAACTCGATTCTCAAAAGGATCGACAGCACCCGATTTTTAAATGTATCGATACTAAATACTCCAAAGTACTCAGTACTCACGAAAGAACTCGAAAGTTGTCAGAGTCTAAAAGAACTCAATAGTACTAAGTATTCACAAAAAACTCGAAAGTACTCAGTACTCAAAAATTCTCTGTTCAATCATTACTTTGATATATGTACTCACATACTTAAAAGTACTGAATAGATACTTAAAAGTACTGAGTTTTATTTACATTTACCGGTATTTACAAATTATTGTACTCAATTTGAAGTTTGAATAAACTGCTGGCAGCTTGCGAGACTTCTACACTAATCATTGAAATGTTACCAACAAGTGTATATTTAAAGAAAGTACTCAGTACTCTGAAAAATACCCGATTTTTAAAAGTATCCATATCAAAGAACTCGATCCTCAAAAGTACTCGATACTTCCCAACACTACTTAGAACCGTTTGAATAAGGTAACAGGGGGTGCTGTTGTATTTTTACTTACTCCTTTATTATGAATATATGAACAAAATTTCGGAGTCCTTCCTTCATCGGTGCCCTTTGAATGGCATTTTTAAGGGGTTTCTAAGGCTAGGTCTGTATGCTTTAAAATAAACCGATCACACACATTTTTCGTTTTTTTTTCTTGATTTATGTCCCTAGAGATTACATAGGAAAAATTAAAGCTATACGCCTACTCCTTCTATTTTCTCCAAACAATATATGGGGCTAAACCACTTTGTGGCGTTACCGGTACTAAAGCTACATGTCTATTTGCAAAATGGTAGTACCTTGCTATTGCTTGCAGCTTTTTCTCCTCTGGTACTATGGCGCAACCAGAACAACTCGCAACCAGTTTTGTTGGTAGAGGGTATTTGAGGAGATGCTCCTCCTCTGGCAGCGTTCGCTGTTGCTGCTGTGGTTGTTATTGCTGTCGTTTTGACGTTGCCATATTTCGCCCCATGAGTAATCCAGAAGTGGTTCGTCCCCTATCCATAGAACCGGGATGCGTGTAGAAGGCAATTCTTACAACTAACCTTGCCGTAGCGTCCAGATACTTTTTTCCTGTTGATTTTAGAGCTTCTCAACGTCGATCTTTCCTTGTGCATTAACCAGATTGCGAGGTTTGTTCTATTACTATTTTTATCTTCAATTCGGCGCCATAATACTTGTAACAAGTAAATTGGGTGATTGCTTTTAATTTTACCTTATCAATATTTCTATTATTTTTCTGCTTATCGATATTACGCACTGTAATTAGATTATAAGTACCTTTACAGACAAATAGAAACCATGTAAGTCGCGTTAATAATCTCCTTCTAAAGTTAATTACCGAAACGAAATATTAAGGCAATTACTTAGTCTCCCTTTTGTATGCATACATTCATACATAGTACATGTGTATTTACATATTGGCATTACTTAATTGTTTCAAAACAGTTGGCAATCGTATCTAACTAATAGTTTTCGTAGTTACCAATTAATCAGTAAGACTAATTGCTGAACTCTTTTAAATAGTAATTGCGGTTGTTAACGAAATAATAAAACTTACTGGATTTTTGTTTGTAGTTTAGCATTAGAAAAGTTATATGTACAGTTGCGATCAAAATAAAAGCACGAAAATTCAGAATGGCGTTGCTTGCAACTTATATTTATTTACTTTTTTTTAATAATTTTCATTTAAATTATAGTTTGATCTATAAAATCAAGTTCACATTATCGTAGGTTACGGCTTATTTGTAATTTATAAGCAAATCATGCTGAAATCAATTAATTTCGTTTGTAAAATCTGTCAACAAATTAAATATAAATGAGATAATTTATCATAAATCCAGAACCAACCGAAGAAAAAAAGTCTTTCATTTATTTAAAAAAAAAAAAATCCCCTTAAAAGATAAAACAGTTTAAGCTTAAAAAAATCTGCATAAAAATATTTAAAAATTTGTTCAAAGGAATCGTAATAATGATGGTGTTTTTGTTGCTTCAGCTTGGAATGATGCTCGCTTATCCTACCTTTATCTTTCATACTTTGAATGAATTTATTTGCAAAGAAATTAAAAGGGTGAGAAAATACCTTCCTGATGATACCTTATAAGTCTAAATCGGAATAGGTTTGGTCCAGTTATTCAAGTTTTTCTTATACCAATCTTTGAAAATAGATAAAAAAACAGCATCAAAAATCTCATTATTACTATGCCGTTGAAAATTTTTTTTTATTATTTTAATGCAGGGCTCGAATCGTAACATCCGTTCACGGATCGAAAACGATACGAAAGAAAATTACGTGATACGTCAGGCAGTATAAGCTGAATGGGACAAAGAGTACGTTTACGTATGTCATAATCCGAAAAATGTGTTTTTACGTGACGAGTAGTACGATATCGTGTGAGGCGATTCGAGCCCAGATTTTTTAAGCTTAAACTATTTTGTCATCTGAGGGGATTTTTGCAAAAAATTCTTTAAGTAACTATTTTTTTTCTATAAAAAATCCATTTTTGGAGATATTTTCAAATCGGTCCAGCTCACGTAAATTTTAATATTTTCCCGAAATACTTTGGTGCAAGTCTTAAAATATAATAGATTTTATACACAATTCCAATGGAAACACAGTACCGGTTTTTTTTTGGTATAGGGAGTGATGTAGTATTATGTAAATTGTTTCTGTTATATGTAGATCGAACTACATACTATACTTTAAATGCAAATGATTGAAAATAAATAAATACACATGATCTGCATTCAATGTCATTTTGAATTATGCTGCTATTTATTTGACCACACCTGTATGTGTGTTATCTTTTCCATCTAAATACTACATTAACTCTGAAAATATATAGTGAGCTTTATAGTCCAGAACTGTTAAGTTTTAATCACTTGACCTTTAACCCGATAGAAATTTACTAACTAACTAACATTTTCATAACTAGTATTCTAAGTAAGCAGTTCTCAAGAAAACTACTCAAAATATTAACATACGGGATTTTTTTAAGTGCTGCATACTGATTTAAGAAATTTTTATAGAAGAACATTTCTTTTCTATTTCTTGTGCGTCATTTTGTATGAATTTTTATTTTTCTCTGAGAGCTGCAGATAGGCGTTAAACCACTACATGGAAAAAAACCACGAATTTTCATTTATAGTTTTTATCGTTTCCTTAAACGTTCTGTTTGTCGATATCGTTATCGTTTATTGAACATGTGCACTGAAAGAATTTTGTTGTTTGTAACCGTTATCGACTTCCTTATACAAATATTTAATGATCAGCATATTTACATACATACATAAATGTAGAAAGAATATCAAAAACAGGTAGGGCTTTTTAAAAAGTTGCATGTAACTCCGTTGTTTGTAACTTAAAAACTTTTATTGAAGGTGTCTTTTAACATACATATTTTACCAAAATCTGTGAAAAACGCGGTTTCCCCGTAGGTGAGTGGCTAGAGGTGCGTACTTCCCCTCAGTAGGACCCAGGCCCGACTAACATAAAAAAATGTAAAAACTTCCCTGCATATTTCTGCCATGAAAAAGATTCTCATAGAATGCATAATAACATCAAGGCGCCCATTAAAAATTGAAGGAAAAGCTCGACACGGCAGCAGCCCTAAAAAATAGCTTTAATTTTAACACGGTTTTTTAAACATTAGCCGTATACATATAGTGCATATGAATATTTTGTTAACATTTAATAATAATAAAAATATGAAAAATCCTTTTTTTCTTCCCAACAGGGAGCGGAAATGACAAAACCAATCGACAAGAAATTCTACAAAGGCACTAATCCCAGTTGTCATGATTTCAATGCGACATCAGCCACATCTACTGGTGCGCCGCTGCTCGTAGGATTCACAACAGGGCAAATTCAGCTTGTTTCACCACAGCCAGGACCGCGTGAATTACGAAAGCTATATAATGAAGAAGTATTTGAAATCCAAATAATTTTAATTAAACTCTTAAGCATAAATTGATCTTTTGTTTTATTTTCCCTTTTAGCGGCTTATTGATAAGACCAAAGTGACATGCTTAAAATGGTTACCAAATTCACCGAATTTATTTCTGGCATCACACGCCTCTGGCAATCTGTATTTATACAACGAGGATCTACCCTGCACACCGACTGCACCCAATTATCAGCCCTTCAAAATGGGCGATGGCTACACAATACTCACCTGCAAATCCAAGTCAACGCGCAATCCACTCTATAAATGGATATTCAACACTGAGAATTGTTGCATCAATGAGTTTTGCTTCTCCCCATGTGGCTCGAATTTGGCCATCGTATCGCAGGATGGATTTCTTCGTGTATTTCACTATGATACCATGGAGTTGCTTGGCATTGCTCGTTCCTACTTTGGTGGTTTTTTATGTGTATGTTGGTCGCCAGATGGCAAATATATTGTGGTGGGCGGTGAGGACGATCTAGTGACGGTATGGTCCCTGCATGAGCGACGTGTGGTCGCACGGGGACAAGGTCATCGCTCCTGGGTGTCAGTGGTGGCATTTGATCCGTATACCACATCGTATACCAACTGGGATGGTGGTGATTTTTCAGACGACGAAAATCAAATGAATGAATATAGTGTTGGACGAGAAGCGCGTTTCTCTGCCGATTCAACTGCTAATGGATTTGATTTTCCCACTGGAATGAGCGGTGTTGCGCATGACAAAAACTCAACACCGAATAACTTACGGCAACGGCCACACTCAGCATCTTTTCGTTCAGATGCGTCCTCGTCGGCGGCATTAGCGCCTGATAAATTGGCAATCAGCTACCGCCTTGGTTCGGTCGGACAAGACACACAGATTTGCCTGTGGGACATAACAGAAGATGTGCTACGGCACCCGCTGTCGCTGCGCCAGCGAGTCAATAGCGTAAATTTAAATGACACTAGTTATATGAACGGCGGTATAGATGCTGATGGCATTAAAGTGATACGGCCAATAGCCATAGGTAATATATCGGGATCCTATCCGGCACCCCAAAATGCCAGCAGTCCAACGAAAGAAACGGTAGGGCCTGAGAACAACAGCAACAGCAGCTCAAGTAAATTTTCCACGGCGAACTGCACCATATCATCCCAATCGTCGAATGCCAATACGCCACCGGATGAAGCTGGACCAGCCGGCGCAAACCCCAATGCGAACAGCAACAGCAGCAAAGCAAACAATTCAAACAAGGCGAACGCAACAGGTAACTCTATAAAATTTCCAAACTGCATCAGTGCCACCAAATCGGGCTCCATTGAAGGCAACATCAAGGACAACGTTTCTACCTTCTCCACGTCCGGCTACAACAGCAAGAACTCGAACAGTTCCACCAAGTCTTCAGATTCAAGCGTCTCAGCATTCAACAGTCTCACGCAACGATTGTCGAATTTTAGCTTTCTGAGCAACTCTGATAAGAAGACCTCATCAATTTCCGGTTCCTTTGATGCATCGCAAATCGCAGCGACGCATCGCACACATCGCAAGGGCATGAGCCTGCTCAAGTCCAACAACCAAGCCAACAGTAATCACAACCACCAACAATACGGCACGGGCAGTAGCACATCAGCTGGCATCGGCATGGACCTCAGTAGCAGCAGCGCTG